ATAGAAATATTTTTTTTACTGAAGGAAGTTCTTCGGGAAACCTGTTTGCAATTTCTAGGTAACTGTGAAATTCCTTGAGAATGTCTGTGTTTAATCCCAGCCAGCAACTGTGTCACATGCAGCTGCTTGCTCTTCCCTGATCCAGGTGGGATTGGGAGAAGAATTGGAAAAAGGTAAACATGAGTTGAGCTACAAACTTTTTTTTTATTTATTTACTTTGAAATAAAGTAAATAACAACAAAACCAGTAACAACAATGATGACAAAGGTGATGAAAAGAGATAGGTAACAAAAAGGGGAATAAAACACAGGAAAGATAAGGGATGCACAACACAATGGCTCCCAACTCAACCCATCCCTCAGGAGTGATCAGCTCCTCCCTGCCAACTCTCCCAGTTTATGCTCTACGGTATGGAACTGCCCTTTGGCCAGTTCAGGTCACCTGCCCTGCCCCTGCTCCCTTCTTGTGCACCTGCTCACTGGCAGAGCATGGGAAACTGAAAAGTCCTTGACTTGGGACAAGTTCTGCTCAGTAACTAAACCATTAGCATGTTATCAACATTATTCTCCTGCTACAGCCAACACACGGCTCTGTACTGGCTACTAGGAAGAAAATGAACTGCATGCAAGCCAAAACCAGGACAGAGAAGAATTTGGTGAAGAAGAATTGGATAAAATGGGGAAAAGCCCATGGAATTTCCTATTAATTTTTATTTTTAGCCTGCAGTAATTTAAAACCCAAGGTATTTCTAACAAATAGTACAAAAAGTAATCTAACCTATTACCTAGGCATATGTAGCATATAAGTAAGTTTTTAAAAAAAATTACCAAGGATATTTTGTAAAATATCATCTGCAAAACAGCCTGAATCAAATTACAAGGCCTATGCTAAACAGCTGCTAAGATTCTCTGTGGGGTGAATTTCCATCAACCTCACCTCAGTGGATCTGTCCACATTAGGCATGTGAGAGGCTTAGGCTCAGTAGTTCTACTGCACAGCAGCAGGACTTGGACACAGTCATAAACCACCCACCCACTATGGATAACTGCAGAAAATAACAAATATTGTGATGAAATTGATGCTACACAATGTCAAATGTTAGATCAACTTCCAAGCTTGTGCTCTTCCCAAGGGTTGATGTAACAGGTCATACCTGACTCCTGTGGAAGGTGATTACATATGGTAAGAGCTTTGTGTACCTTGCCAAGACATGTGAACGTCATATGCACTGGCCACTTTGACAGATACCATCCCTACCAAAGCAACACAGAAGTCCACCTAGAAAAACATTTAAAAGGTATTTTCCAATGGATGATGATAGGAAGAGCAAGAGCTCACTTTCACAACCAACTCCTTGCTGTATGTAAGGAACTACTGGCTTTGCCTGCTTTCAGTGAATACCTCTGTCAGTCAGTATCTTCTACATATCCAGACTGTCACTGCATCTGCTTTTAGATTCTCTCAGGGAACTATATAGGGACATGGTCTGCCAAAAATATCCCCAAAATACGATGGATCTCATGCTAGAGACATGCTACACGCTGTGCAGCTTTGAAGCGTTATTTTCCCCTGCTGTTTTTGGGTGGGTCTTAGACTTGTCAGCCACAACATGGAAAATATGGATGGTAAACAAGCTAAAAGTGGTGTGAATAAAGTAAATAAAAAGCTACTGTCAAAACACATCCAATTATGCTCTGCTGTGGAGATTTAACACCAGAGGATGATTTTCAAAGTAAAAATAGTGTGGGATGCCTTTCCATTTGTAGATTAGTTTGGAATGAAAGGCCTATTTGTGCAATTTAAGCCAAATGCACTACAAAATAATGATGATCACAACTGTAATTCTTTATTCGTGGAAAGTCATCTTTGTTAAATAAACCCCAGGAGGGTTTTTTAACCCAAAGGACTTAATTCAATTGTACCTTATTTTATATATAAAATATAAAGTAATTATATGTAATTACAAGGGAAGAGCAACACATTGATACCTTGTACAGGAACATAATATGCCAATGCATTCAGTCACACTGAATGAACAGCACAGTAAACTTTTCTATTGATGGGAGTTAACATATCAGAAATCACAGACTTCAGCTTCTCAGTCCAATGCTATAGTTTTGGCCTCCTTTTTGAACAACAAATTAGTTAAAACACCCACATAACTGCAAATTTAACCCAAGACCAAACTTTTTCTTACTCTGTTTTGGCACTAATGGCATTGCACAACAGGACAACATACAACAAGCTATTTGTACCAGCTTGGGGGACAACTAAACCAAAGACCATTAAGACATTGAGGAAATAAAACACAAAATGAAATAAACAGCTCAGACAGCAAGGAACTGCCAAGAGAAGGCTGCACAGAGGAACCTGTGATTCCTACATATGGTACCTAAAGAAAAAGTTATGAGGTTTAATTTATTATGCAACTGTCTGCATAATATAGAAAATGCTAATGGTCCCATATGAGAATGATGAAAACTACCTTCTTCAGGTGGCTTCAGGCCTTTCATTTATAGCACCAAATGAACACTTCTCAAAAAAAGACATTTGATTTTAAAAAAATCTTAGAAAGAAGCTGTCTGGCTTCTCAATACATAGGCAGAGGCACACAATTTCAGCAGAAAAATTAACAGGAGATTGCACCACCTACCATGGCTGCCCAGCCCTCCTTCCTGGTAAAAGCTAGTGGGGAAAATCAACCTTCCTGCACCTGAACAGGTCTGAAAACATCCCCTGCCAGCCTGACTGGATCATTGTCCTCTGTGCAGGAATGACAGCTCAATCTGAGCAGTCCACCTACTCTTAAATTGCAAAAGAAGGCTGTATGGATGCTGTGGTAAATTTCCCCTGCTGCACATTCTAAGCAGAAGTTATTCTCAGGAGACACCATGAAAGCTGAACATGACAGCTCCTATTTAGTCTGGTGTATCTGAGGAGAGGGGTTGGCACCAAGAAACAGTGTAATTCTCACAGAACTGATAACAGAGGTGTCCAGTTTTGAGAGGACCAGATGATGTTCCAGGAGGCATTGTGAATCCAGATTGATGTTCTTCCCAAAGAAATTCTGAATAGCATCACCCCTGAGGGAAACAAGACAAAACTGCCTGCTGAACTCGCTCTGTTGAAGAGAGTCCCCTAACTTCTCAAAGGCTTTCAAAGCCTCTTGTCTGTGTCTCCCTCTGCCTTTCAAGAATTAAAAGAGGGGATATTGCAGGAGATTTTAAATATGAGCAGACATTATGCACACCAGGAATATATTCATAGCAAGCTATTTCTAATACTGCCTAAGGCTGGAGAAGAGAACAAAAAGAATTAGAAATGTCTGCATTAACTAATGATAAATGCTTTTCTGTGAGACAGAGCAAAAAGAACGTAAGCAAGGGAGGGGTAAAATCCCTAATTTCCCATCTCTACATTAACAGGTAGCTGGTAAAGATCCCATTCTCTACCTGCTGGGAAAAAAACCATGAGAAACAGTCCTTTGAAAATGTATAAAATTTAACTAGATACAGCTTTACAGCACAACAATTTGAGGATGCCTACACAGAAGTTTTCAAGTGGCCTGGAAGTAAAACAGTTCTATCTCCTCCATGAGTCAATTCTGATTATGAAACAGAGTCTAAGCAGGAAATACAGATAAACTCCAGAGAGAATATTGAGACCACTATGTCCTCCATTTAGCTTGAAAACCTCATAAAAATTATATATAATGAATGACCCTGTAGTCCTATGGCTCTGCAATCCCCACTGGAGCAGAATACAAGTCCTGGGTGAAGCCAGTGGCAAAGCTGATGAAGAGAGCTGACCCCTGCTGCTAGCAAGGCCAAGCTGTGGTAAAGAGAGATGGAGAGGAACTCTGCAGAATTCTGGAGGATGACCCTTGGGGTTGCATCCCTTCAGTGAAGCAAATGGGAGAAACAGCTGAAGAACTCGCTCATCAAAAAATATGGATTTTATTCCAATTAGTGTCTTCCCCTCTATGCATTTTAAGCATCAAGACCACATGAATGTCATAGGCTCTCTCTGTCTTTCTCTCCATTTACTGGATGGAAATACTGCACCCAAGGGGCTAGACCCTGATTCTGAAAAGGTATAAAAAAATAAAAAAACCCATGTAAATAGTGATAGAATTAGACCTACCTAGATACTTTATTTCAATGCCTTGCAGCCCTTGCCTGAGAAAAGAGAGTGTAATTGCAACAGCACTGTGAAGTGAGGTCAGCACTAATTATGAAACCCCACCCAGAATACCCAACTGCCCGAGCTGAAATAGCTTTTGGAGATACTGAGAGTTCTGAAAGACAAGGGCACTGGCAGTGCACTTGACCAAATTAATCTCTGTTGTGACTGACTGAAAATGCAGCTACACCCGGGGCAAATTGTTCTTCCACCAATAAACCAGCACTGCTCTGAGCAAAACAAACCACTGAACCACAGTTCCTACTGCCATCACTAGATGTCTCTTACTGCCCTGCTTCCTGATAGTTGAGTATCTTAAACAACATTTTACCCTTGCATGTTTCAGTATAACCTTGAAATAAAACCATAGTGAAAGAAACTGACTCACAAAGATCTAAGTTAATAACAAAATGACAGCTATATGTTCAAATAGCTTTCAGGATTTGCTTTAATATTATTGATACTCTTCTCTCTGGTATTTAATCCAGGAAAAAGTCTTTAAGAAAAGGGAGAGAGGGGAGGAGAAAACATTTGCACTTAGTAAAACAGGCCACTACAGGAGGTTCTCACCACAAACTGCCTGCAATTTGCTAGTGAAAATACAAGTGTTTTTCACAAACCACCATGCAACAGACAGATATGCCATGACTATCCTGCTAAGGATGATATCCCAAGAATTTTAGGTGGGAGAATTTTATTTCATTTAGAACCTCAGAAGCATTGGCAAGCAGCAAAATACCCGGAGCTCACACGTACTTTTACATTTTTTGCAAAATGCTGATTTATTTCATACAGATGCCACAATGATGCACTCTTACCTTACTGCGACAGCCATGCTCCCTATAGGGTTGATTGGCAATGGCCTGGCTCCAGGAAATATTCCTCTACTCAGTACTCGAGCTCCATTTTGTATCACTCCCGAAGGAACTAAAAACAAAACAAAACATACAATGTTTTTTCTTCTAAAGGAAAAGTTAGAAAAGTACAGGAGCAAAATGTGGAACTCAGGCTTTTCAATGTACTGGAAAACCATTAGAGAGGCTCGTGCAGTACACTGCTTACCTTGGACATCTCAGCCTTGAGTCTTCTGAGCCATTCTATTTCCAATGCTATTTTCATATAAACAATGATTACATGGCTTACCAAAGCCACTGCCTGACCTAGTTGCTGCAGATCATTCCTTGTACAAACGAATCACTTTTCTTTTGCAATTGCTGTTCTACTGCGAATGAATGTGCTTGGAGTCAAAACCAGCTATGAGCACAGGTGTAACTATTTTGTCCACAAAAAGAAACAATGACCCCTTACAGATAAATAGAACACAAGTATTTCACTGCAAGATCACAGTTGACGGCTTTTTATCATTCCAGTTTACTTTCTGAGCAGCAATATCTTGGGCCCCCATCCCTGCAAAACAAAATATTAACTACAAGTATGTATTTAGCAGGAAGAGATAGAGAAGAGGCTTAGAGGACATTATGTCCATAGCAGTAATCAGGCCCTGCCCCTGGCCATGGATGACCCTGCCATGCAGCCTGGCAGCAGTCCCGTGCCCCCTGCACATGGGCCGGGTCACAGCCCAGCCTCCCTCACCCAACATGTGCTGATGCCACTGACACCAGCTCCTAGGAACTGACCACTACAGGCAAGACATTTCACTGGGCTCTTCAACTTGGCTCTACATCAAAAACTGCAGCTCTGGCCAACAGGATTTTAGGTTACACCCAAGTACTTGCTTTCTACCCAGGCATGTTTCTGTACACTGCTCAGCCCAGGGCAGACAGCTGAACAAGGAGCAGAGAAGCACTAGTCAGGCACCACCACAGCAAGAGTGTCCTTAGCAAGTCTCAGGATTTTCCTCCTCCACTACGAGATGCAAGACTACCAAACAGAGTTCTACCAAACAGAGTTCTACCAAACAGAGTTCTACCAAACAGAGTTCTTAGTCTAGGCCCTCAGCAGGGCCCTACCTGCATGTACTGGCATTTGTTTGCACTGCTATTACGTCCCTTAGGCTGGGACAGTCACCTCACCACAGCCTCCACCTGAACTCACTTCTTTAACATCCACAGCCAGCCAGCTGACACACATTCTATTTACTAGAAGTCATCATTCACACCATAACTTCCCCCCATGGGGAATGTCCAAAAAGAGAATGATGATCATTACTCTTTTAATATTATTTTTAAATATATGGATATTATATAAACACTTGTAAGATAAATGTAAACTGTATTACTTTATATTCACCCACAGAATTTATTTTTAAACAAATTACACAGAGACTAGAGAAATTATTCAGAATCAACACATACACTTCACATGCCCAACTTCAAATACTCACAACCCCAAAATACTAGTGTATTCTGAGGCAGAGGAGCATATGCTCAGAAGTATGCTGAGGTACACTTCAACTTCCCATAAACATCAAGCCAGATTGACACCTCCCCTCCTGCTGTCCTGGTGCTCACCTTGTTTCACTCCAGACCACACAGATTAGTTCTGGGAAAATAATCTTCTTTCTCCTGCTTGTGAGAGCACATCACACTCCCGATCAAATCCTGTCACTGTGTAACACCCACTCTTACTTTTGAGCACCTTTGAAGAATAGGTCAGTTATATTTAGGTACTTAAGTACAACCTCAAATGGCTAAAATTATAGAACTTAGTTTATAACAATTTGGGTCAGCTTTCAATGACCAGAATAATTTTCAATAGCATTTTGCTATTTATACCTCCCTACTCTGTATACTTTTCCCTTCACTGCTAGCTTATGAGGAATCGATCAAACTTCTTTCACACAGGGGACAATGTAAGGCTTTCTCTGCTCCAGTGTTCTGGTTTTTAGATACTGTAGAGCAATATTATCATGTTAAAACTCAAAAGGCTGAATTTATTATTCTATTTGTTCCAACAGCGTAACCTTGCGATGGTTGAAACACCAGTATCATGAAAGAAAAGCAGTCTGCTCAAAGATATGGCTAACCTAAAACATGAAGGTAACTGGTGAATTCAAAGCCACAGATAAATGTGCTGAACACTGAAAGATAAATAAAAAGACATAATTTCAAATGGGCATGGTTATTCCAACAAACTTTTAAGAAGGACAGATTTTATACTGCACTACATGGTATGGTTTCTCTATGTTTACAAAGTCCCATCAAAAGAAAGGAACCAGAAGTTTTGACTGAGAAAGATCTGGGAATTTTCTCTTCACTATGATATAAACCATAGTTTTATACTGAAATGAAACATTTATGCATATGCACAGAATGTCAGTTAGCTATGGATACTGTCTAAATATACACTGTAAAACTTCAAAGCAAACATACTGAAAGTGCTACTACAAAAAGAGAGCAACAGGCTCATTGATGCCCAAACTCTTCTTTGCTCAGATTACCTAATTATCCTGGTCTGCTGGCAGAGTTAACTGATGCTTATTCTATGATTTTTCTTCTCTATCCTTTATTGACAACTCCCATTGCTTCTTTAGAATATCCTGTTTGCTTCCTCACAATTTTCAAAAATTAACTTCCTGCCTTTCCTTCTTTATCTCTTCTGAGTTTCCTTTTTTCCCTGCACTCCTATGTATGTATCTATACCTATATCAAATACACTGCCAAGTCTCACAATTTCAGATTTCTATACCTTGACAACACCCTCACTGGAATCCATCTTTCATTTTCCTTGACCCTTTGCAGGTTTGTAAGTCACGGAGTGCCATCCAGGAAACATTCTCTTCAAAAGCTTCACATTTAAAACATTCCCACGTCAACACACACACACACACACACACACACACACACACACACACTCTCTCTCTCTCTCTCTCCCCCCATATTCCCTTCAAGAAGTAACAAATGAACAAAGGTTTGTAAAAAAAAAAACAAACCACAGAAGTTATCCCCTAAGAGAAAACTTGGTCTCTTGTCCTCCTATGAAATTCTCTTCAATCATGGCCAGTCTGTGCCTCGTGCCACCACTCACTGAAAGGCTCAATAAGACTATTCATGCCAGAAGAGGTCTTAACCATGATTCTGTGATTCTAACTTTTCTCTAAAGTACATCACAGCTCTGGATAATGAAATCATCACTCAGAATTCAATAACTATTTCAGCTTGCAACAGCAGTGTTATTGCTACTGATTTTTGGTTTTGTTTCCTCAGACTCTCTGAATTATGATTCAGCACAACCACTACATCACTCAGACAAACAGAAACGTTGTATGCAAGGGATCACTGGAGAAGGACACTGGACTATGTAGTGTATCCTTTCAGGAAATACATGGAACCATAAACAAAAAAAACCCACAACATCCCAACTTTCTGGTAAATCAGCTTCTGTGGCACTCTAAACCTAAAATGAAAAGCAGGATTAAAATATTTCAGTAGTAAAAGGTATTAATTTCTAGTTATCCACATTACCAATGTGCCACCATAAGATTGATCTTTCTTGCTCATTCATCTCTACTTACAACATTTAAAGCATCAAAACTGATCCTTGCAGAAAATAACATTAATTACTTAATTTTAAAAAGATTATGGATAAACTGCTATTACACTGTCCCTGGTACCCACAGAGTCTTCCAGCCTTTGTGCAGGCAGTATGACAGCTACTTATATTCAAGGAATTATTCCTACATCTTGGTGCTTTTGAAGGGTTGTGGATTATTTACTGAAATTATGTGGTGCTTTTATTCCAAAGATACATTTACACCTTACAAGCTTTAATTACGTTTCAAACCCATACTTTGAGGTGAGATATTTATATTTTAGAGATTGAAGATTCAAGGTGTGGAGGTAAGATAATTTACTCCAAGCCATATCATCAATCAGTGCCAATCTGGATGAACACCTTACAGTCCTGACCCCTCTCATGTAATGCTTCTTTAACCAACAGTACAGGCAGGTTCCAGGTTCCCAATTCCTAGGCAGAAGTGTGAAATGTAATTTACACCTTTTCTGAGCAAGTGCCCAAAGCCATTTATGTCTGAGAAACTCAGCTCAAGAAACAATGGAACAAGACCTGTGCATCTCTTTGATGAAGGTTTCCTTTTTCACAAAATGTTCCCAGTGAAACACAAAGAGTCTGAAATGACAAAATCATTATTCACCTTTCAACTTTCATCACTGCTATGTTTTCAAGGGTCTACTCTGCTCTCAGGAAACTTAAGCCCAGGAAACACTTTCATTAGAGTAGAGTCAAAGTGTGTACTGAGAATCTGCCCCTCATATGCTGCATGAATGGGGAAATTATTTTCGGATCTTATGCTGCTCTGGTGGAATTTCACAACCTGAGTAGACTCAGCCAGCTGAGTCTCCACTGGCTAACTCTGGAGTGAAGCAATGCATCCAATGTCAAAAATCAAGACTACATCTCTGAAATTCTCCAAGGGGAAAAAAAGTCTCCCTTTTGTAGAGAACTTTCATGCTGTAGTTTAACAGACAATAAAGTGAATGACATGTGGGAGAACATACCATAATCTGAATCCATCAAGGCACTATGTTCACAGTGTTAAAAGGATCCAGCAGAAGCCCTTCAAAAGTCCAGGGTTGTTTTGTAGCCTGTACTCAGGGTCTGTAGGTGGGAAGTAAGTTGAGGGCTACATGATCACTCCACAGCCAGTGCAGGACTACTTTAATCCAGAGCATGCTCTTGTGTGCACATTAGCTGAGTAGATTAGTCCAACTATGGACTTCTTTCATCACATCTCTCAGCAGACTGCATCCCTGATCTCTTACTTGCAGGGGTGTGCAGGTGAAGCAAGCCCAGTTCTGGCTGAGATAACCACCTCATCCGAGATCTTCGCAACAGTCTCAGAAAAACCATGTCAGACTGTGTCCTTCCCTGAAGATCTGATTGTCAAACAAACAATGTAGCAATTTGGTAAAATTGCAATGCAAAAGGAGGAGGAATTAGTAATGGATAGTCACCAGACACACTGACACCCCAAAAGCTCACTAGAAAAGGAAACTAACTTCTTGGGTAAATGTTGGCATGTGAAAGTGAAATGAAGCATAAGCAAGGAGTGAGACTTGTTGTCAATCAAGACAATGAACTGGTAAAAAACATGTTCTTTGTGTGATTTAGGAAACAAACATACACTTCATTAAACTGTCTAGCTCAAGGTAGCCAACACTTAGCAAGGAAGAATGAATAGTATTTACTGAGAAATGAATTTTAAAGAAGTGTAGGGACAGACTGGTTCTTTGCCTCTTCTGTCATCATACAGCACATGCACGGATCTCAAGGCCCTCTGCCCTGACCCAGTTTCTGTAGAAGAAATCATTATAGACAAGAGGTACTGAGTTTTGGCTAATATCTGTCAGCTTCAGCTCTTTTCTGCCAAGCTTTCTTTCAGTACAGTGTTTAGTAGAATTCTTTAGATCAGGCTACAAGAACTGAAAGTAGGAAATTGCTGATGATCTATAGTGGATGGGACATCAGAAGTTGCCAAAAGCAAATGTTTTCTGCCAGATGTGAAACTTTATTCAGCTATCTTAACCCAGGCACAAATTTGATGACATCTGCCCAACTTGTATTTTACAGCTCAAGGACAATTTCAAAGCTTTTAAATTCCATACTCTGTAGTCCTTACAAACTGTGAATCTAGGATGCATCCAACAAGCCATTTATTCTAAACAAAAATTGAGATGGGGGAGACAAATGTATCCTGATAATTCTATCACACTCGTACTTTTTCTAAAAATATTGTGAGTACAGAGGAAGAAGTAGAAAGTACTTAATAAAAGTAAGCTTTCTTTCCAAATTTATTTCATCCCTTTAATGGCTTAATATTAAACACCAAAGTAAAACAAACCAAAACAAAATCCTAACCAAAATCCAGCAACAGAAAGTTTGAACATTATGAAAATGTATTTTCCTAGTTTTTGCTTTAATACAAAATTGCCAGTAAAAATAGTTTTACGAAACATTTTACTCTCAACGATTTATCATTTTGTGATACTCAAAGTTAGGCTGGAAGCTGTCTCAGTTATACTAAGTGACTTGTCCATAAGCAGTACAAATAGAACATTACATCTATCAAGTTTCATGTACAATAAAAATGTCCCAACAAACCAGCACGTTCTATTTTATCCTATTTGGAGAATTTCTGACTGTCATTAAGGCAATTTTTTTGGTCTTCATTCCTGTATATGTATCTTGCTCATATACAATCCACTTGCATTAGTTTAAAAAGCAAATTTCATTAGGGTACAATGTTAGAAGTGTAGAGGTAAAGTAGATCTCTTTAAGGAATTACTTGTCCCCCCACCAAACTTACAATATGTGTATCTAGTCTGGGTTTTATATGTTTTGAGAGGAGAATTAATAAAGACTTCCAAATCAGAGAGACACTGGTTTAAATCATAGAAAACCTATTTTAAAAATATCTTTACACAGCACTTCAGTCTCCTATAAGGAACCACTCACAAAACCAGTGTTGCTAAGTTCTCTGAAGGCCACCAGTTTCTAGCCAACCCAACCAAGAAGTGATGAGAGTACTGAAACCAGAAGGTGGATGTGAGAGCTGGGAAGACTCTCAGTTTCCTGGTTTCTACCCAAATCCTTTCTGTGGGCACTGTTTAATAGCTGTTTGCAGCATTAAACTTTAGATTGAGCAATGTACTTGCATTTGTGTGCAATTCACAAATTATATAGCAACAGGCAAAGGACTATGCATGAACTTGGAGCTATGTGTAACAGCACTGAGAAGCTTCTTGGATTAAATCAGTATTTCTAAGATAATCCCTCTGACCAGAGCACTGTTCACTAGCAGTAGCAGCCATACACTAACACTGTCCCTTCTTTACTCATCCCTCCAGAAAAGCAAGTGGCTCAAAGTTCAAAATGACCTCACCAATTAAGAAGGTGTTGCTACCTACATGCTTCCAGTGACTTGAATCTCAGGAACTCCAACACACTGCAAAAGCACCAAAATCTACCTCCCCTTTTAATCATGGCAAAACATCATGGTTTGGTAAGACTCAATGACATGCCCAGGATGCCACGCTCTTAGAATGACAGCTAGCAATATTCACTTTCAAGATGTTGGTAACAACTGACGTGCTGAAAATCTTTTGTACAAAAAAGCAACTGTACAAAACTAACTCAGGGACTTCACTGATTTAGTACCCATGAGTTCTAAAGTTCACTGGTTTAGTAACCATGAGTTCTAAATGGAGCTCTACCATTTGTTCACCATCCTGTTTTCTTCTGTCCTCTCTCCAAATTAGATTCACAAGAGGAAAACAGGCCCATAAATTTGATGCAACTTGCCCAAGATGGCCCAGACAGTACTCAGTGCCTTGCAGGTCAAGATAGAGTTTTCAGTGCAAGTCAAATATTTTGGAATTAATATTCATGAACTGACTACTAATAAAAATACCAAGTATTTGTAACTTGTGATAGCTGCTTCTAAAGGAAGCAGGTGCTTTAATTGCTGTTTCTTTTCAAACACAAACCTACAAAACCTGATGAAACACGACTTCAATAAACTGAAGCAAAAAGTATTAAATCTACGTTCCTACATGCCCTCTCTTAGCATATCACAGTATCTTTCATGCTTTAACTCCTGGTGCCAGCTGGATTGCAGGTTTCAGTAGAAACTTGCACACAGTTGGCTACTTTGAACTTCTGCCTTTATTTGGTCTGTGAATATACTGCAAGGTGTTAATAATTGAGAAACTGATTTCTGACATTAACACTCTAACTATAATTGCATATTCCTAACCTTTAGTAGCAATGTGAAGAATCAGTTTTATAAGTCTATACAGTAAAACCTACACAAACACAAAATAATCCTAATAACAGTATTTTACTCTTTTACTATGCCTTTTGTTTTTCTGAATGAAAACTAAGGGATAGTGGAATTGGAATAAATGGTAACCAATGTTTGTCAGATACCATTTCAAGATTTCATATAAAAGCAGAAGCTGATTTTAGAATTCATTTGTGATTGTTAGCAGTGTTTCACGCATGGGTGTGGAATTTTAAATGGTCATTTAAAACCATAAAGCTAGTTAATCAGATACAAAGTGTAACCTCCTCTTCCCAACAAAATCTTTCCTTTTTCCTACCTACACACAGCAGGCATTGCTTGCCCTTTTACCATGCACAGTTCCTGAAAGCTGCTTAGGAGAGGAGGACAAGGACCACTCTTCTCTTTCCAGAGCAGTTTCTTGGTAAATCCTGCTCTCCTGAGAGCAGCTTCTCAAGAAGCATTCCTCTGGCAGGGTCACAAAGCAGGCTGACAATAGCTTTCCTCAGCTGCATGGGAAATGCTTTGATGGTAATTGACTCTCTTCCCCAGGCAGAGTATCAAAGTGCAAATCAAGGCTTCCCCGGGAATATGGAGTTGGTTGCCCAGGCTAGAACAATAGCAGTGATGCTAGACAGTCTTGGTAATGGTTTCTATTTTAACTTCTGCCTTTATTTTTTCGAGTTGCCTGTCACTTGGCATTACTACCATGCTTGCTGACCAGCGATATGTTTGTTTTCTTGTATTCCCTGTTTTTGTGTAGCTGTATTTCACTATGGATTCCTGTAATACCTTCACTGCAAGCTCTGTGGGGCAGGATGGTTCCTGCAGTATTTGCACAGCCCAGTCCAGTGGGGGTCCAGGCCTCTTCAGTGCTCTGTTAATGCACAGCATTAAAACCTCAGGTCTGGTCACAGAACAGGGAGGAGAGTATTGGCAGGAAGTGAGACCTCTCTTTGCTCCTTGTCACCTGCTTACCACCTTGCATCAGTCAGAGAAAAAAACCCCCAAAACAGGCAGGATGTGTGCAAGGAAGGAGCTGAAACAGTGCCCAAGTGAATGGAAAGTATCCAGATGGCTGTGGTAACTTACACGATAGGAGTCAAATCAAAACAAAATGAAAACAGAACCATATGCCATGTATCCTTCACTCTCTTGCTCTTTCTCTATCTCCCTGCCTTTCTCCTGGCTGTTGCCCCAGGTCTTTCTATCAGTATGGATAATAGTATGTTACTCATTTAAGTGTATGTCATGAATAACAATAACCTCTCTTTTACATAAGAGATCACGGATTAATATTATTCATGTAACAAATGTAATATGAACCACAAAATTATACTCATGTAAGGGTCAAGGAAGTGCAAGGGTCTACAAGGGAAGTTATATTTCTTTATTACATCCTTTTTATCTGGTATGCTGTATACTTATAAAAGAGAATATTAATTTTATACGTCTATGTTGCTATATGCTATAGAAATATCTACTCACAACCTGCTTGTATCTCAGGGGGAGTATTCAAAAGCATCATGGCAGTGGCAGCATCAATGTCAGGATCTGGAAAAATCAACCAATAAATACATTATTTACAACTGGGCTAATCTTCTTACCCCCATTGCTAAACTACAGGTTTGACCACGTCTCTGAGTGAAAAGGTATGAGAGTTCAGCACTCAGAGGGCTCACTGGCTACACATTAAATTTATCCCCAGACTTGCATGTGATCCCCTTGTTACCATTAAACAGAGTGGTGATCTATGTCACTTAGCCATACTTATGCTTGTGTGTGTATGATACCTTTGCTGTTAGCCTCACCAATTCCCTGTTTAATTCTGTGGAGAGTATTTAGATTTCTTTACAAAGGATCTGAGAAAGCAGGAGCAACATCACAATTTGGAAGCAACAGACAGGGATGAGCTGACAGCTGAGGAGTGGGAAAGCACAAGGAATACCTGAGCAAGTACAGAAGATGACACTTGGTCATTTCTATTTGTCAAGAAAGATTTCAGCAAAGTTTGAGAAAGTGTTGGAAGACAAACTGCTGCAATTAAGAAAAAAAAAAAGAAACTAGCATTTCATCGAAGCATCAATTTATTTGCATTCCTGTCCATTGTCACTTTAATATAAGCAAAAATAATCAGCTGGCTGCTGTTATTCTTAAATTGGTTTCTGAATCCATCATGAAAAGTCAGCTGACAGATGGTAAGTTATAGAGACAGAACAAAATATGATCCTTTTATAACTATATTCACTTGCTTCACACACAACAGCTCGGCTGCTATGGAAATGCAGGTATCTATGACAACAGTAAACAACCCCACAACGGCCACTGAATAAGCTGAAAAGAACATCTGCCCCAGCAAAGCGTCCCAGCTGCCCTGGGGCACAACTTGCTAATCGTGCAGTGATGCCGTGTGACAGAGAAAGCCGCCTATGCCATGTCCAAATAAATGAAGTGTGCAATTGAAGCAGACATAAAAACGCACACCCTAGCTGACTGCTGCCTCTGTGCTGCTAAACTGAATGACTAATGAGTATGCATTTGTTGGTTGGGGTTGGGGGTTTTTTCAGCTTGTCAGTATTTATACCAAATTACATACAAAAAAAAATTAATTTACTACTAATAGCTTCATGGCACTTTCTTTCGGCTATTATGACAGAAAATTACTTACCACTGTTAAAAATATCTGTATTTTTGATCTTTATATATTTCAAATCTATTCCCAGTAATGTGATGTGGTATAAAGCCCTGTAATATATTAACAATACAAATGACGTAGACAGGATTTCAAAATCTGCTTAAGCCAAACAGAAATTCACTTGACTGCAGAATTTAAAAAAGGGACTTTTCATTTGTTTAAGTATGTACTACCTTTCTGTGAATAGCTGCAAGCACTCTTCTAAAGGCGACTGCTCTATTATTTAATTGCTAAAACAAGGAAACAGTGTAGTGGGTGTCAAACTGAAACTGAAGTAGCAGCAGCAGGAGGCTTAGTATAAAAAGTGCCTGTGTCTTCTGGACAGGTCAACATTTTCCAAAGAAAAAGCAGCATTATCAACTTATGTTCAAGTCTGAAGATACCTCAAAAGCAGAATTCCTGCTGCAATTATCTATGCTGAAAGTGCCATTTCCCAACAGCATCATTCCCAACTATGTGCCATGTTGCAAGACTGGATCCACACACCACATAGCAAGTGTGTGCTTTCCAATTAAAGAGGAATAATCCATCTAATGTTAAAAAGCAAGACAAAAGAAGCCTGAGAAAGACAAACCAAATTCACCAGAATTCTTCCCTCTTTTTCATACCATAAAATTAAGAGATTCTTAAAAGTTGAATTTAGCATATCATAATTCCTACAGCCAACTTCAGCATTTATTTATTGGCTGTTCCTAAATTTTGCTTTGTTTTAGTTCAGTGGATGACACTGTAACATAATGCGAATTTTGTTGCTGAAAGAATAAAAGGACACTACCAGGAAAAGCACGTTTCCTGATGACTTTGGGTTTTGTTTGTGTAATAAACTCTGTGATCTGAGATAAAATTGATGCAACCAGTTTCTGTTGAAAGGTGCATTCTTAGCCTTTGGACCACTAACGGTACCACAGTGTTTCTGCAATGACGTAAGACGCGAACCCGAGCTGCTCACAACAAGGACTGCATCTGCACAGCTGTCTCCCACAGCACAGCCATGTCTCAAAGCCCATCCACACCTGCACAGCTGTCTCCCACAGCACAGCCATGTCTCAAAGCCCATCCACACCTGCATCAGCTGTCTCCCACAGCACAGCCATGTCTCAGCCCATCCACACCTGCGATGTTTCTGTTTCTGCTGGTATATTCTTGAAGAAACTAGACAGCTATTCCATAATGCCTTGGCAGAGGTAAGAGAGCTCAGAGGCATGCATGAATGGTGGTGTCAGTAGCATCCAGGAAAATGTGCTTTTGGTTTTCCTACTGCAAGGAAGAAAGAAAAAGGAGGGACTGGTGCACAAGTGAGACAAGGGCTGAGGGCCAGCTGTCTGAGCCTGCAAAAAGAGGCAGATTGAAAAGCTGGCACATTCTTTTGCATCACTTTCGTCCACAATCTGGAGGCGTTCTCATGAGCAGTGTGTCAAGAAGAGCCAAGAATTAGCCATGAGGAGCAGCACCAAAGGCATGGGACTGAAAGGCACCTTTGCTGGGACTGGCACTTCTGGCTTTGGCTGCTGGTCCCCACCAGTGCCACCATGCTGATGGCCCTTTCCCCACTGCCATTCTTCTGTAGTCTCTTCCACGTGGATGCTCCCATTTGTAGCTGTAAGGCCTGACCTTGCTCACTGCTGCATTCCCACCAGTTGCTAACTGGATCCTGTCCCTTCTACCTGGCCTGTGTTCGTGCAGCTGTGGATTTCAGAACTGAGATCTCTGCCCTACCTGAAGTCTGTGATCAACACAAAGACTCCTGAAGTTATTAACAGTGGGTGGTTAGTGAAACATGATTGCAGGAACATCTTTCCCTAGGAAACCAGGTTAAAAATAACTACATATAAAGTTTTGGAATATAAAAAAATAAGTATTTAAATGAATGCATTCTGGCTTCTTTTTTTGCTAATTCAAGTAAATGGTGAACTGACTGCATACATGAACTGTTAATTTTTTGTCAGTGAAAAGCAGATGTCCAGCCTTCCTTGTGAAAGAGTGAAGTAAGGAGCAATGAAGAAAAGGAAGGATGGCGGGTGTTGTACAAAGAAGTAAGAGTGTGTCAAAGTCTCAAACAGGCAACACTGGAGAGTGTTAAGAAAATAATGACAAAAATTGCCAGCAGCCACAATTCTCCCTAACAACTGCAGTCTAGCTGTACATTTGGTACTTCATGCTGCAGTCTGAAGTGCTTGACCAAGTCTGGTGCTTGGTCCCTCACGCACCAAGGATCCATTGCAAGGTACCAGAAAGGACCTGGAAGAAGCCTTAAGCACTTAAAAGATCTTGTAAGGCATGAAAGGCATCAAGAGGCTGGATTTCTACTACAGCTGCAGTACCTCCCCTTGCACTGCTCTGGCCAGCATTGCTCTTAAACACAAAACTTGTTTTCACAAAGATGATACCAGCGGTGGTATGAACCTCCTGGCAGTTCTGTTTGCTGCAGTTTAGATTCATGCCCCTTGTCAGCAGAGTCTTCAACAGTGAACACCAAATCTCTAAACATTTTTTCACTGAAAGAACTAATCTCTAGTTCTTTCAGTGAAAAATAACCTACAGTATCACTCTGGAATTACATCTTCTACGATATCGTCAAGACGTACTTGGAGCCAAACTCTGCTTTGCATGTTACCTGTATAGATCAGAATCTGTCTTGCACAGACATGTGAAGTGTCAAAATGGTAGGCATGAAATATTTAGCATGAGATTACATACAAGCAATGCAGAGGATAGCCCTCAGGTAGCAGACTCTTTATTCTAGAATTCACAAAAAATAATTAAAATCAGTCATGTACCTGAGAAAGCCAGACGTGACAGCTGTTCTTTTTTATGTTGTGATCTCTGATCAGAGTTCATTTTATAGAGAGAGAAAGTGATTTACAGTAATTTGTATTATTTTGATACTATTTTAAACTTTGATCAAACCCTTCAAATCCGTCCCCTTCCAATTAAATAAAAATTAGGGTAACATAGTGCCTTTTTGGCTGTGCAAAAGGAAATTTATCTTTACAGCCATACCATAAGGTTTTAAAGAAAATAGCAGCTAAAGCAGTTCAAAGCAACCATGGCCTGAATTTTCCAGCACAGATGCCTAGAGAGAGGCACTTAAGATGCATATTTAGGTATTAAGAAAATGTTACAGCCAACTGACGTAAAAAATGTAGTTAGTAAATAAACTGCACCATCTGTACACTACAACCATTGCTGTGGTATCTCATCAGGAAGGAATTTATAAGATCTTCTTTTAATTTAAAGTTACTACATCTAAAATAGAACTATTTTTGTGAAGTACTTCACTTTACCATTCAGTATGCTAGTTTTTGGCCCATTCTACTTCTGCCTCAGCATCCTCCACTGCTTTTTCCCATTTATATATTCCTACTGTAGATGGAATGCCTAAAACCTAGTGCCAATGTACTCAAAAGGCAGAAGCTCAGATTATTCCTTGTCTACAAATCAGTCTTTTAACCCCCTTCCTGCCTCACTTTCTAGCACAGACCATTCCTACACTTTTTTTTGTTATTTGATTCTTTGATATTTTCAATTTTCATCAGTAGTAAAATGGTGCAAAAGCAACACTTTCTTCCATCTTTACCTTCAGGCTTATTAAACTGCAATGGAGCAAAGAGCAGCTTGCCCCTGTTTAACTTCTCTGTTAACAGATGTGCCTTTTCCCTTCCCATATCATGATGGTTAACCTTGGTATATGTCAGGTCAAAACCATAGAGAATAATGAACAGAAGGAAGGCTTTTTTCCCCCCCATTTGCTTTTTTTTCTTTTCTATTTTTAATTTATTTTGCCTAATGATGGAATAAGAATATAGCTGTTAAAATAAAGTTGCAATGTGCAAGACAGAAAGAAATACCTGAAGAGAAT